CCACACCCTTTAATCTTATCCAATCACAAACCAGCAGGGATTTCCATTGTTACTACAAGCCGATTGGCTGTTTGTGTTCCCCCCCGCCTCCGGCCGCCACAGAGGTCAGAGTCTCAGAGTACCAAGGCGAGGATGGCACAGAATCCACAGAGTACAGTGTTACGTTGTGTTTACACCTTTCTAACACACTGCTGTGGCCTGTTTAACCTGCTGAGGCCCCCCTCCTGGGCAAAATAAGCCTTTTTAGCGCCCATGATCCCCTCGGTGTAGGATTGTTACACAGCTCCAGGTTTTCTGAGTCGTATTTTGACTACACGTTGAAAAAAATTGGATGACACACTATCAGCTTAAATACTTAAAGACTTAACAGAAGATTTTGACAAAGAGCCTCCTATGAGACAGAATGAAAAGTAATAAAGTCAGAGCCCATTAAGGTCCTCGTCGTGTGCTGTGATCTAGCGCTTTTTTGGGGGTGTAAAACGTAGGCGGGGGATGTTTAGCTGCCTCGGAGTTACCCGCTTGGCAACACAAAAACTGTGATAAGGTCAAACATCAATCCGCTGTGCCTTTTCACGGGAAAGCTGCTGCACAGGAAACAGACAGAATAGCTTCAAAACAACATGTTGCCTCCTCCAAATTACCATAGAGCTGGTATCAGTCATAGTCACAAAGGTAGCAGTTATTTTAAGGATAGTATATTGTTGCTGTTAAGCTTCCACACCTTTTGTTACACCAGCTCTGAAGTATAAAAAACAACGGCAGTTAAAATGAATGTATATAGGGGGAGTGTGGAAAGTGGAGGTTTTGGTGAGCGTGGGATGGCTTTGACAAATGAATGCTCCACACAAGAATGCACGCTGACGAGACACAGACACTAAAGAAGATTTACATTTACTTCTCACCGTTCAGTAAAAGTACAGATCCCATATTGTGCAAGTACTCTGTTACAAGTAAATGTTACCTAACAAGTAAAAATAGAAAAGTATTATCATGAAAATCTACTCGAAGAATTACAGGTGAAAGTGCTCAGTGCAGAAAAAATGTCCCCCGTGTCTCTTGTACTGTTAAATATTACATCAGATTCTTATTCCTCATGCATGAATGTAAAAGCAGGATTTTTACTGCCGTGGTTGGTGGAAGTGGGGCTCATTTTGAATTATTTTGTATCCAACCGCAACTAATGATTGTTGTCATTATGGGTTAATCTGCTGATTGTGTTGTCCATTAGTCAACTGATTGTTTGGGTTGTAGAAATTATGTTTGTTTTTTTTATAAAATAGTGAAAAATGCTGCAACAAAGGCTCTAAATGATTATCAAAATGGTGGCCAATTTAACTGTTTCGAAGTTTATTTTGCAACAAATTAAGTTGTTCATATGTTCTAAATGCAAAAATCTTAATTTGTAAAGCAACTAAAGCCATGAGATGAATGTTGTGACGTAAAAAGAACAATATTTTACCCACAGATACACTTGAATACATGTACCTAGTTACATTCCACCACTTTAATTAAGATAAAATGAAGACTGAAAAATATGTTTTGATAAGAATCCAAAGCTTTAAACTCCAGTGACTCACCTGCAGGATCACAGGCATGACTCGCATACTAACGCAGATGGTGGGTGTGTATTAGTAAATTATCAATAGGGGTCCATCTGCTTAGCTCAGACCGGGACTGGGTCACTGGGTGGCTTTAGGGCTTCTGGATTGGTTTGTGTGCTGAGGGGCTAGAGGAGGGGACGAGTGTGTGTGTGTGTGTGTTTGTGTGTGTGTTTGTGGCGGAGGAGGGCGTAGGATCCGCTGATGACTGAGGCTCTGTGGGATTAACTGGGTGCATGCTGGGAGCACCATTTATCCTTGTGGGATGCCGGCTAATGAGCCATATGTACCTGCTCAAGCACAAGTGTCAGTGGGCGTGTGCAAAGAAGTGTTTGTGTAACATGTGCACTTGTGTGTCATCACCATTTCTGTGTGTGTGTGTCACAAAAGGGACACATGGGAAGTATGACGTTAAGAAATAATGCATGTGTCAATGTTTGATTTTGTTCTTTTTAGATAGAGTCGTGTTGAGGAGATAAAGGTTGCGCATCGTCGATAAGGGTGCGCAGAAACGCCGCTAAATGTGTGCGTGTAAATGAGCAGAGAAGTTGATCATAGACCCGTGTTTGTGCTCGCTGTTTGTCATACCCCCCCTCGCGCATCCCAGCAGGTCATCAAACAGCTAAAGTCCACCATTTGATGGCTATAAAAATCCCCTCCTGCTTGTGTTTTTGACTCTCATCCTGGCTCCTCTAATGTGTTGCAGCCTTCGTGTTTGACAAACATCATCTTTTTTTTGCCTTAGTGATTCATCAGTCTTCTATTCTGCTTTTAGGTACTTTACCCTATAAAAACTGAGGACAGATTTATTAGTTAGGCCCACAGAGCTTAATTGGACCTCCAAATGGCATTTGTTGTTGAATTACAAAGAGAAAAGAGGTAGTGTGTTCACTGCTCTTACTAAACAGTGGAGAAATGTTCAACCCTGTAGCACAGAGGAACTGATTTGTAGAGTGTTTGTTCAATCTTTCCTTCCTTTTTTAGATGTCTATTCCACCTACTCTCTTCCTGCTATATCTGTTCAAAGTACCTGGATGTGTGCACTGTTGCTGGACAGACATACTGTAAATGGGTTCTTCCTCCAGCACTGCATTGATTGGAAGCAAAGCGGCCGCAGCGGAGCAGTGTGCAGGTGTGATTCACTTTAAATCTCTAACCTTCACCTCTGTCCCCTTTCAACATCCTGGGCTCAGCTGATCAGCACACTCCTCGACACACCTGAGCACCAAACATTTATAATACCCTGCTGCAAGCAGATTAGAGCAACACGGAGCACAGCTCAGGGAGAAAAATATATGAAAGTGTATGAAAATAAGACTCTGCAGTCATGCCAGCAGCTTAGTGAAGCTGTAAAGTGAAGCTTTGAACTGATTTAAGAGATGGAAGAAGTATTTAAATCTGTTTCTTATGTAATAGCACCAAAACAGCAATGTACAAACACTCTATTACAAGTTAAAGTGAAAGTCCTGCATGAATAATCCGACTTCAGTGAAAGCACATAAACATTAGAAGCAAAATGTAGTTTGAGTATTAAAATACAGGTACTGGTTTATGATGTATTATTATACAGGACATGGTTAGACTATTGAATAACCAGTGTGTCAGCGGCATGTTACTGCTGCAGGTGGAACTACTTTAAACTACTTTATATGCAGTTTTATAAACAGGGACAACAGATAAATCTGAGAAGGCATCAGATGATTAATGATACATAAAGATGCTTCAGCTTCTGGACTTTTTCTCAAATCTTTGATTTTTCCTGAGATGTTGGATCATTTTACCATTTATTGGAATTAAGTCATGGGAAAAGTTCAGAGGGAATAATCACTATTTGCTAAAACGTAACCAGTTTAATCTTTAACAATGAGCAGTATTTTAAAAGTTTGTAGCATCATCTGTTGTGTAGAACCCTATTTAAAGCAACCAAACCTGTGAAAGAAAGTACATAAAGTATTTCCTTCCAGAAATGCAGTGGGGAGTGGAAGTATAAAGTAGCATTAAATAGAAAGACTCAAGTAAAGTTTAAGTAGGTGTAATCTTGACTAGTTTAGCATGACAGCGAGATAAAACAGTTTCTAATTAACACTAAGCTCAGAGGACAAAGCTGAGGCTGATTGCATTGTCACCAATTCAGGAAACATTAAACCAAATGCTGACATTTTGACCTGATGATGTAAAGTTAAGCAGCCCAGAAAAGAGGAGAATCTGAAAATGTGCAGCGATTATAATGGCAAATTATCCGGTAGTTAAATGTGCACATGGGTGCAAATACCCTGAGCAGTGAGAGAGTGGGGCTGCCCCAACGTTTCTTGTCTCTCTCCACGACCGCTATGAAATGAAATGAAAAATACTTTATTTATCCCAGAAGGGAGATTCAATTATCAAATGAGCAACAAAAGAGGGAGTGTCAACAGTCATTTGGCTAACTGTATATACTCCTACTGGCTCCTTTTGTAAATATATGTATATATCCTTATTTGTCTTCTACTTTTATACTTTTGCACCACTGGAGTTGTCTTTTAATTTCGTTGTACTTTGCGTATGATGACAATAAAAGCATCCTATTCTAAACTAACTAGGGTTCATCCTCTGGGCACCATAAACACCTGTGCCACATTTTATGGCATAACATTTAATTGTTAGGATCCCTACAGTTTCTGAAATACATGAGTATGCGTCAAAGCAGTCAACCGGCCTGCATTGCTAAAAAGAGACATAAAAATTTGTATATTATGCAAACCCAGGAAAACAAGGATGGAGGGCAGCAATAGAAAGAAAAGAAATGGAACTGTGTAAGAGAGATATGGATGGACAAGGGAGGAGAGGAGGGAGGCAGCGGTGGTGAATTGGAAAGATAAGAAATGGCAGCCAGAACACACGGAGAGCGTCAGAATAAGGATGAGGAGGACAAACTAATTCCAGCGTTGAGGGAGTTGAACACAATCGACAGCCTCTCTCCGTCTCTCTGTGTGTGTCAGTGCCAGTGTTTACAGCGGTTAAGCAGGCTTTGCGGAGTAATTCTACTATTATTAGCCAGCATGACAGCTAATGCTGCAGCTAGACGGTCAGGATGATGGGCGTACTCTGGCTGTCTGGTGACCCTCTGGGTTTTGCTGGTTTTGTGCACTTGTTCACAATTTGAGCAAACCAGAAATGTGACCATTCCAGTGATCAGCCCTCACTAACTGTTTCTCTCAGCAGTTCAGGATGCAGACAAAGACAAACGGCTATTCTTTGACTCTGCACCCAGACGCTGTTTCCGCAGCTGCCGCAAAGAGGAAGGTTTTTGCATGTTTTCCCTTCTGCAACTCAACTTCCCTTTTGATTTGCATCGAATGGGCTGCGCGATGACTTGCACTGACAGGAAAGAAAGAAAAAAAAAAAATCCAAAGCAAAAGCTTACTCTTCCACCTAGTGGCGTGAAAGCGGCGGTGCATCCACTTGTGGCGAGGTTGAAGGCAGAACGGAGAGCGGCGAGAGGTGGAGGCTGGGAGCGGGTCGGCCAGCTGGAGTGAGCGGAGGTGTTGGAGGGGGAAGCAGGAAGAGATGGAGGCAAGAAAACAGGAGGAGGGGCGACAAGAGAAGCACAAGTATTCTCTTTGAAGCTGACTGTACTCTCTGAAGAGGACTGTTGTATAATTTGAGCAAAAAAATAGCCTGTCAGTGTTGTTTTTATTTCCCACCCCCCCCTCCTCTCAGAGATGATCTTAACATCTCTGCAGACAGAAGCAAGATTCACCAAATACTATATTGAGATGCACGAAGAACAAAAAGCATCCAGACACATATGGCAGTAAGATGGACGAAGAGGCCTGCTCAGATAGCATTGCTCCCACACACACAGAGGCTCAAATGAGTAATCATCCTGCAGGTATCCAGGCACTGAATGCTTGTGTGTTTGCGTGACTTCGTACACCCCCCTCCTCTCCCATCTTCTCGCCTCTCAGTCTCGGCTATGTAGGCTAACTCTCACACTGGATCCTATTATGTGTCAGGACACCGCATGACTTACACAGGATTAGACGTGTTCCCTGCTGAATTCAAACTAATAATGGAGCTTTCAGGCTTGTCTCTCCGTAATTGCGCTAAAATTAATCAGAGTTTTTCTAATCAGTCTCCCACCTCCTCACCTATTCCTCTCGCTCGCTCAATCTACCTCCCCGTTCAACTTCCTGATTTACTCGTCACCTCCTGTCACTGCCCCCTCTGCGAAGACTCCCTCCTCTAAGTATTAAAAGTCTCGCTCTCTTGTCTCAAAGGTCCGAGATGGGCGTCCTGGAATTTGGGCATCTTCATTTGTATCCGCTGTGCCGGCATCCATCGAAACCTGGGGGTGCACATCTCCAAGGTCAAGTCCGTCAACCTGGATCAGTGGACGCAGGAGCAGGTCCAGGTCAGGAAAACGATCAGTTTCTGTTATCCAGCTGAGGGAGTTTGTATTTGTAGGTGTTCATTAAATACTCTGACATGCCGAGAGAAATGCTTGTTTGCCTTCCTTCCTGACGGTTAGATGAGAAGATCAATACCACTCTCATTTCTGTCTTTTAAGTATGATGCAACAGCCCGCAGCCAATTAGCTCTGAGCGTAAATGTGTGAAAACAGTTTGTCCTCTGTCAAACCACTACTTGGTGTTGTTACGCTGGTTTCTGAATTGATTAAACAAACAAGATAAAATGCGGTAGAGGTTCTGGTAAACAGTGGTGGAAGAAGGATTCAGTACCTACTAAAAGAGCTACTTCAAACTACTTTACATCCACAGAGACAGCAAATAAATCTGAGGGGTTTTCAGATGACTAATGAGGGACGAAGCAAAGTTCTGATACACAAATCTATATTGTGCTTTTTTCTCTGATATTAGATTTGTGCTGAGATATTAGATCAGTTGAACATTTATTGAAATGAAATCATGCGAGAAGTTTAGAGGAGAAAAATCAATATTCAGTGGAGCTGTTAACAACTCAGACCTCTGAGTGTGAGCCCAACGGCACGCTGCTTTTTTTTTTTTTTTAAAGCCAAAACAGTTGGAAACAACTGGTTTAATCTTTAACAATGTGTTGTTTTTTTTTAAAGCTTGTTATTTTATCCGCTGTGTGAAATCTATACTTCGAAATTGACTGAAAAATGTAGTCGAGTAAAAAAAAAGTGCAATTTTTCTAATGTTTTACAAAATTAGAAGTACAGTAAAGTAGCATAGAATGAAAATACTCAAGTAAAATATAAGTACCTCAACATTGCACTTAAGTATGGTACTCAAGTAAATGTACTTAGTTACTTTTTAACCACTGTTGGTGTGTTTGTTTTTTTTCAGTTATGCCAGGCTGACTGCTTCCCTTTGTGTCTTTATGCTAAGCTAAAGCTAACCAGCTGCTGGCTTCATCTTAATTTACAGCATACAGACATATTTGTGGTATTAATTTTCTCAGCAGGCTCTAAGCAAGAGAGTACTTAAACGTATTTCCAAAAAAAAAAAAAGACTAACAAGTGCTTAACCATAAAAAATCTTTGGAAAAGTACAATTTTAAATTTTAAAGCGTATTTCCCTTACAAAAAAACCCTCTTACAACAACTTTGTCTACCAACAGCATCATAAAACAAAATCCTATGTCAGAATTGAGCAGGAAAGATAACAAATTTGCAGTAATAATGCAGCAACTATATTAATCGTATCTGTCTGGGATTTCAGCATATTAATAATACTTGTATTGTAACACACTCTATTGAGGCTCTCCCTCCACTGAGCAGCTACTTTCTCATTTGTATACAGCTCCTCATGTCTGGGTCTGATAGGCAAGAAAGTCAGCATATGATGAAATGTCTGCAGTCAGCACTTTCCTTTTCTCTGCCTCCACAGTGAGAATTAAAACTGTTTTCTAGCACGACTCCTCTTCCTTTTGCATCGCTGGATAACGCAGTAGCTTTGGGAGTTCTTCCATTCCTCGACTCATCTGCAGTGTGACTTATTATTTTCGCGGTTGTGTCTCCAGTGTGTTCAAGAGATGGGAAATGCCAAGGCCAAACGTCTCTACGAGGCTTTTTTACCTGAGTGCTTCCAGCGTCCTGAGACAGACCAGTCTGCAGAGATGTTCATCAGGGACAAGTATGATAAGAAGAAGTACATGGATAAGGTCATTGACATCCAGATGCTAAGGGTGAGTCCGCATAGATAGAAAATAGATAAATGCTCGTGTCTCAAGAAGGATCAGCAAGAAAAAAAACACTGGACAAGACTAGAGCCTGAACGATACTGGATGTTTGCTGCTCAATTTTGATGCGCGCTCTGCTACATGTGCTGCAGACAGCACTGAGAGTGTTGTAGGGAATGGAATTAAAGCTGCTCTGCTGGAAAAACTTTGAGATCAAACCATTTCTAAATTATCCCAAACATCTTTGTTTCTGCATTTATTTATTTTTTTGTTGAAAGAAAAAAAAAGAAAAAAGTTATTCCTTATCAACAGAACCATGTTTTTCTCTGCACAGAAAGAAAAGAGTTGCGACAACATACCGAAGGAGCCCGTTGTCTTTGAGAAGATGAAATTGGTGCGTACCTCATTCTGTGTTCATACTGGCTGTATCAGAGCATTCATATAGTAGAAGTGACTGCAGCTTGTTCTCTAGTTTGGGACATTTTCAGCTCTAATGCAGAGTAAACATGTGCAGCATTAGCAGAGGAAGAGCTGAGCTCATCAGTGAAGTGAAGGTGACGTTAACCTTTTTAAGAGATGAGTTTTCACCCAGTAGAGAAATATCAGGAGTAACTTTACTGTTCTGACTTGAGTGGGAAAGTCACTTCTCCGCCAGGGAGCTTGGAGAGGAAAAGGTCCTGAATACAGACTCATTTATCATTGCAGAAATGCTGCATTAATTGTATTGATTTTCTATGTTGTGGCAGAAAAAAGACATCAGCCCGAAGGCAGATTCCCAGTCTGTTACAGACCTGCTTGGACTAGGTATTGTACCTCATGCACACATTCACTAACACTCATTGACAATCTAATATGAAGAATTGTGTGCTGGCTTTAGATTACAGTGAGAATTGCTTCATGGGTCCAAAATGAGGACAATTAGAAGGTTCATAGTGTTGTCTCACTATAGAACGACTTCTAGGCTTCATGTCTGCATCCTAAAGCACATCAAACATCTATTTCAAGGTTGAGAATCTGAGATTTAATTAAATTAACCAATGAGAAAATGGATAAATTATACCTGAGACAGTTATTATCATAACCATGCTTCCAACTACTTTCGATTAGATGCCCCTGCTCCGAGCCCTGCGGTGTCTAATGGAGGAGGATGTGTTCCAGACAGTAATGAGAGCCCAGTGGTGTCTCATCCAGCTCTGGCACACTCTGCCCTGGATCTTTTCAGCTCACTCCCAGCCCCCTCCTCTGCTTCCTCCACAAAAACCACGGTAGTAGATAGCACACAGTACAAACGGTCTGCTGTCTGCTCAATGCAGGAGCATCATTATGGTTTTCTAAATCTCCCTTCATAGCCGTGTTTGTATTTGCTTCTTTCATCACCCGTGCTTGTATTTTGATAGCCCTTTCTCTTTTTCTTGCTTCTGTTTGTACCTCCAGCCTATTTCTAACTCCATGCCTCAGAGCAGAGTGACTGCCTCAGTGCCTGAGAATCTCAGCTTGTTCCTTGATCCGACACCCAAAGCAGAAGAGGGCACTGTCAAGAAACTGTCCAAGGATTCTATTCTCTCCCTGTATGCCTCCACCCCCTCAGTGCACGCCAGCAGTATGGCTGCACACGGTGAGAGCTGCATAGATTTCTCTGTGATGTTATCGAAAGATATCTACGTGGTGATACTCGTGATAATTATTGGTTAGAAGTTGACAAAACGGCGTCTGTGATTGTTTCCTGTAGGCTTGTACATGAACCAGATGGGCTACCCGACGCACCCGTATGGTTCGTACCATTCTTTAGCCCAGGCCGGTGGAATGGGAGGCGCCATGATGACGTCACAGATGGCCATGATGGGACAGCAGCAGAGCGGCATGATGGGCGTTCAGCAAAACAGCATGATTGGAGTCCAGCAGAACTGCATGATGGGACAGCAGAACAGCTTAATGGGCGCTCAGGGAGTCATGGCTCAGCCCAGCGGCGTTATGGCGTCGCCTTACATGACGGGAATGCCCCAGGGCATGATGGGACAGCAGCAAAGTGGAATGATGGTGCAGCAGCAGAATGGCATTATGGGACAGCAGCAAGGCGGGATGATGGGACAGCAGCAGGTTGGAAGTTTGGCCACGTTACCCCACCAGCAAGTTTATGGAGTGCAGCAAGCCCAGCAGCTGCAGTGGAACATCGCCCAGGTGTGTGTTAGTTATGGGCCGTCTGAGTTCTGCACTAAGAAGCAAGATTAATGTGTTAGTGAGCTCTGTTAAGCCTAAGATCAGAGTTTTCAATGTCACAAATGTGGTTATTTTTTAAGCTGCTAGACACCGTGGTAACTGTGCACAGCTAACCAGCTCCAGAGATTGATCTGTTCAGTGTTTGGGATTTAAATCGGCTTAAAAAGCACCACTCTTTCACCAATTCTTTTACTGACGGATTCTCTGTGAGTGACAGATCTGCAGCTTGGGGAATATGTGAGTCTGTTGAGCTTTACATTAGCAATGCTAGTGAACAAAGCTGTGCAGTTACAGCAGGCCAAGTGCATACATCACGTTACCAATATGACCCTATGTGCATTCAGTTTGTGATGCAGAAGATGCATAAACATTTTTTCATGCTTGCTCCTCATTTGTTGCATGGTCTGTTTTACACTGCAGCAAATAGACTCTTAAAAATCTGATTCTTTTGACATTTATCAGAGAATATTCGGTAAATAACATTAATTTCAAAAAGTGTCAGAGCTAATTGCACTTCTTGAGAATTATGTTTAAATATATGAAGCTTTAGGAGTAATGTGGAGCTGTCACGTTAGAAATTAACAGCAGCAGTGAAAGTGCACTGAGCGGTAAAATAAATATATTAACCGACATGATGAACAATTTTCTGCCAGCGTTCCTCTCTGGCCTTATGTGCAGTAACTGTTTTTTTTTTTTAGCATAATATTATTTTATATTAATCCTAGTTCTCCATTTTAACAACCTGTTCCTCTTGACTGAAGCAGGCAACATGCTTCCATCCATTTTTTGTGCGAGAGAAGAGTAAAATGATTTTTATAGCAGCATACACAGAGCCCGATGAATAAAACCTGGTTAAAAAAGAAATCTGATATCCACCGTTGTGAAACCTATTATCTCTTATTGGGGGTTTTAGATTTTGTCGAGGCACTCTACACAAAGAAAGCTGGTCCGTGTCCAGTTTGTTTTGTAGCACAGCCCTCTGAAAGCAAATAGCTGCACTCCTAATAACAAAGCGTGTTTTGTACCTTTCAGATGACTCAGCACGTGGCCGGCATGAACCTCTACAACACCAACGGCATGATGGGATACAGCAGTCAACACATGGGCGGTTCAGCAACTCAGAGCTCGGCACACATGACGGCACACGTGTGGAAGTGATCGCATCCGTCCGAGAAGCGATGGGAAAACGCCAACAACCTACAAAAACCGGGGGGAAACAGTCGTAGGAATCTGTGGATCTCCATAAAACATTTTCTAATGCGAGGGAGGAGGAGGAGACAGGTGTGAAGAAGAAGAAGAAGAAGAAGAAGAAGAAGAAGAAGAAGAAGGTTTGAGAAACCACTACTACCTCTCTTTCTCTCTCCTCTCTGCCCATGCTTCCTCTATCCGTCTCATCCATAGCCATGCTCTGCAGATTTCCATGTTTGCCTTCAGGACATTTTCGTATAAAGACAACAGGGTTCAGAGGCCGCTGGTTAGGACTCCACATCTTTCTTTGTACCGAGCCGTTATTGGAGAGTGTGCGCACACATCTTCTGTATGCTGGTGTCGACTGTAGGTTTGGAGAATTTTGTTGTTTTCAGATTTCTGCGCTGAGGTTAGCCTCGCATTAATAGCTCAAATAAGTTCATGTCATTGACTACTAACCTTTTTTTAACATGAGAATAAAGGAAAGATTAGGTCTCGTTTTTAACCTTGCATTACCAATGTTTATTAACAAATGTTTACTCAACGGAAGTAGCTACTTTTTTTTTTTTTTTTAGCAGGATTCATATACGCAAAAAGTGTTAAAGCAGACAGGGGTTAACATTTTGATACCCAAAAGATTCTTATTGGAGTATCCCCCCTAAAAGCGCTTTTTTCTCCATATGTAAAAGGAGCTGCTGTTATTTTAGCCAATCAAGCTAAGCTAGGTAAGGCTAATCTCCCTTCCATACTGCGCAAAGACATTAAAGGTCCCATACTGTGCCTCTTTTCAACAAATTAATGAACGTCTCACATGTCCCCAGAACATTTCTTTCACATTTAAAGGCACAAATTACCAATTTTTTTTTATCATGACTGTGTAACTTATGCTGTTGGCCTTGTTCTAAACAGTCTGTTTCAGTGTCTGTAGCTTTAACTGCAGTTGAGCTGCCACTGACCACGCCCCCTTCAGGAAGACCACGAACATTTTCTGAGACTAACATTTTTCTGAGTGATAATTTTTCATGGAAATATCATTGAATTTGTTTTTTTTTTTTTTTTTTTAAACTTGCATCTGGGGAGTTTGTCAGAACATGTAGTTTTAAAATCAGTAGTTTAGCGGTTGCAGCTTGGAAATGACTCTGAAGTGACTGCTGGCTAACAGACATGACAAAAAAGACCCCCACCTAATCCTTGTTTTTTTTTTTATTTTAAGTTGCCCTTAAAGTCACCACCATCTCTGATTATCCCTCAGCTTTACAGTTTCCACAGATCTCTGACCCGTGGCAACGAAATCAAAGCTAATAGTAGCATGAGGAACCTTAGTCGTGCCATTTCCATCAATATTAAAAGACACCCACATCGTCATCAGTTCGGATGATGTGCATGAAGACTTTCGTGTTCACTCTTGCAGTCAACAACAGAGCGCTCGAGGACGTGTTCTACCACTAAAGGAATAGCAGAATTAAACGCCTTCATATATGAACAGCTTTTACTTTAAACCTCCAACTTTATAACACACACAAAACACAATGAAAATGGAGCTTCACCATATGGGACCTTTAATATATTTATCTGGCTTTGTGGTAGAAGAAAAAATCTGTAAGGAGATTTTAAAAATCCCTCAGATACTTAAGTTTTCCCACATGTCCAACAATATCTAAATCATATTTAAACAATATTTAAATTTAAAGAATTCTATTAGGTGTTGATAAGTTCCTAGATTACTGTATCACCAGTTAGAGCAGCAGCAAAGCCTTTCTACACGGCCCTTAATTATGATGTCTTCATCTCAATTTACAGAGGGCTTCTTTTACAATCAGTAATCATAACTTTTAAGTGTCAAAAGTCCTAAACTGGATTTTGGGAGACCAAAGATCAACACTAGCTTTATTCTGGTTGTACAGTATTCGAGTATGCTTTCCTGTATAGCCACTTAACTAGTGATTATTTAGAAAAAAAAAACAAATCAATTAAGCTGTCCAAATGTATATTTGATAACACCTGCTCTTACAATTCACTGTGCTATTTCCTCAGCAAAAGGTGGGACACTTAAAAACAAAAAAAAACCCAACTCACGTGCATGCGATGTCATCATGTAAGCGCACCTCAAGTTAAGAATCTACCTTGTACAATAGAGGCCTCGATAACGTTGAATGTCTTTAAATAGGAGAGAAATAGAGAGAAAGAGGCAGAGACAAAAATCAACTTCAAGGTACAGATCAGTCATGTTTCAGATGCTTCCACTGAACTGCATGAAAAGAATGTTTATCTAGCTCTGATTGTATGTACTCTGTGTTTATTCAGATTTCCGAATGTGTCTCTCTGAATGTGTCTCTCTTCTGTACTCGTCAATCAGTCTTGGACCAAGACCAACAAAAAAATCTCAATGAATGTGCGTCCTGAATGTGTTCATGATTGTACTGGACTCGTTTTGAAATGCGCACACTTGCTGCGGTGTTTTTGATATTCTTTGACTCCCGTCAAGCAATGTACACTTGTGAGTCTGTTGAATGTTCTGTGGTCAAAAGCGTCCCGTCGTTTTTTAAAACATTTTGATTTTTTTTGGTAAATTGTTAAAGTCATCCCGAGTTTTTTGCTGTAACTGTCTTACCGTTGAGTTCGGAGCAAACTGTGACCGGGCTCATTCGGGAGCCGTTTACAATTTGGCCAAACCACATTGTGATCCGAAAAGTGATTGTACAACCACAATCTGTCACCTCTGAATGTTTCAGCTCTACACTTCTCCCACACAAATCATCTCTTTTTCTCTTTAAGCGTTTCTAAATCTGCCCTTTTTCAAAAAAAATTTTAAAAAAATGCATGAAGCCATTAGTGTAAATAATCTCAGTCTTTCCATATTTTTTATTTTTTTTCAAACCACTTTGGTGTTAAGTTGCTGCTTTTCATGTGAGGAGTAAAAAAAAAAAGGTGCCGCCAACAGAGAAATAAATTGCCATCCTCTGGCATAATAAGACGCTTATCAGCTGCTGTCAGTAAAAATCGAGCGGCGCTGCCTTCACTGCTCAGAAACTCCACGATTCCTTACAGGTATTTCTTTCAAATTTAGCTCATTCTGGTGGGAGTTCAGGCAGCGGGTGTGACAGCAGCCGTCACTTTCTCTGCTGAGAGCAATATTATCATACGAGAATGTGTCGTCTGTGCACCGTTACAGCAGAACTGCAACTTAACAAGGAGAAGTTTCTGAAAAAGGCAGTGAGAAAAAGAAAAAAAAAATCATCTCTGAGGGCGAAAAGGCTTCACCTGAGCTTTTTTTATTTGTGGTTAACTTTTGGTTGCTTGTACTCACTTCCTTTCTTTTGTCTGGTATGTTTTCTGTGAAATAAAAGCAAATAAAGGAATGTATCTTTTTACGTACTTGTCAATCAAGATATTGTGCATTTTATTCTTTATCAGAATACGTCTGTATATTATGTTTCTTAAACAGGATTGATGAAGATGTTCTGTATATTAGTTCTGCATTTGTTTTTCCACATGCTTTGCCCCTTTTGATTCCACGTCTACACAACTTCAATAAAGATTTATCAATATGTATGTAAACATATGATACTTGTCCCTGTGAAAACATACTAAATAAATATTGTTTTATTAATTTCTATATGTTGTATTGATTTTATAAAGTAGCCATTAGTGTGTCT